GACCCTCGCCTGAGACCCCAAGGCAAGCAGGTGACAATGCAAAGCATCTGATGCCCCAGGACTGACAGCAAAGAACTCAATCCCCAGCATAAAGGACTCAGTCCTTAAAAAAAAAAAAATCATGGCCCATTTTTTTTTTCTTCCCTCACAAGGCTAAATCTATGAAATTGGAACAGCACAGCCAACAGCTGAGGGCTACGGTCACAGCTCACAGACGGTTAGGGCCAATTTGGTCTTGGCCCAAATTCCCAAAAAAGCCAAATGGAAATGCAGGGCCTGTGTTGGAGGGGTGTCCTGCAAGCACAGGCAATTACCTCTGCTGTAACCATGCACGTGGTCAACTGCACACAATCCTCCTCCCAGAGAGGCTGCGGCCTGCCCCAGGCCCACTTCCAGTGCGCGGGTAAATCTGCCTGGGCCTCACCCAGGCTCCCCGCGGCTGACATGAGGGCACAGCTCGGGTTTCTCTGAGGATCCTGGTGTAGAAGCTACCCATATGGAGTGTTCAAGGGGCGTGGTTATCACCATCCCCACTCAGCAGGTGGGCAAACTGAGGAGAAAACACTTAGAGGACTCAAGTGCACAATTCTAAAAGAAGTGCAGAAGCCAGATCAGAGCCTCCTGCCTGGCCCTGGCACATCTCTCAGGACCAGTCTCTCCAGGTGTCAGGGTGACAACCAAGCTCTCGACACAATCCAGGGACAGTAAGTTCCTGGCAGGAGACTCCTGGCCAGCAAGCTTGGAGATCTCAAGTCCTTGCCAGTCATGGGCTGCCAAGGACTTTAACCTCTTTACCTGGAAAATTCTCAACTGCACCTCCTTTGTTGGTGCAGGCAGCCAACAATGGCCAGGATAGGTCCCATGGCGTTGTGTCAGGTACTGGCCAACTTATGCTCTGCAACACCCTGTGTTGCCATGACTACACCAACACAACCTCCTCCAACTGAAGATGAGCTATTTCCAACCCTCTCTTCTGTATGCTATGATTTCAATACTTCTCCCTCCAAAGTCAAGGGTTTGCCCCCACCCCACACATCTTATATTAAAGGTACTAGGAGGATAGGAATTTAATCCAAGTATGGTATTTGAAGGTGGGGTCTTTGAAAGACAACTGGATTAGACTGGGCCATTGAGGTGGAGACCCCTAGGCTTACATTCCCTGTCTCTTGCCATTTGATGCCTTGTGCTACCTCGGGACCTGGTCATCAAGGAGACCGTCACCAGAGGCTGAACCAGTGGAGCCTTCCGATCTTAGACTGCGAACCTCCAGAATTGTGAGACAAGATAGACCACTTTCAGTGATGAAAGGCTGACCTTTACACAGCATCTCTGTATTTCTTGAAGCCTTTCAGTGCTTTTTACCATATATCAGTTAGTACAGGGGTCGTAACCACAGCAAGGGATTCAAACCTGGCTTCCATTTGTATTTTCATGTCTCGGGAGCTAGGAATGTTTCACATTTTTAAGCAATTGAAAACATATTAAAAGAAAAATGATATGTTGTGAAAATTACATGAAACTGAATTTCACTGTCCACAAATAAAGTTTCTGGGGCATGAAGCCAAACGATCTCATTGATGGTATGTACATTTTAACTGCTCTTATTTGGCAGAATTGAATGCTTGAGACACAGACGATATGACCCATAAAACCTCAAATGTATACCATCCCCCTTTTCACAGAACAAGTTTAGTTTTTAACTAACTCCTGGCTTCATGAAAAGGCAGGCCACAGAGCTGTCCTGGCCGTGTACCCACCCTGCAATCCACTGAAGGTTTGCATGCCCCCAAATTCACGGTGTTGAAGCCCTAACCCCTAATGTGATGCTGTTTGGAGGTAGGGCCTCTGGGAAGAAACTGGGTATGGGTGAGGTTGTGAGGGTGGGGTCTTCAGAAGGGATTAGACTCTGACAAGAGGAAGCGAGATCAGTTCTCTCTCTCTCTCTCTCTCTCTCTCTCTCTCTCTCTCGATGTCTCTGTCTCAGGACACAGCACGGAGGCCTGGAAGACAGCCATCCCAGAAACCAGGTCTGCTGCATGCTGACCATGGATTTCCCAGCTGCTGGAATGATGAGAAAGATGCACCTGTGGGCTTTTGTTACAGCTTCAGGGGCCCTAACATGCACCTGTGCGCATACATTGAGGATAAAAATATTACACTTATTGCTGGGTCTAAGATTGCAGATAATTATTTGAATTTTTTTGCCAAGTATGTTAAACATAAAAGTATAAAAAGGAATATGAATGACATTAGGAAAATCCAATTGTAAAAGTGGGCCCTGCCTTTCTGTGAGCCTGGTGCTGTTAGATACCAACAAGCTTCACTTCACCCAGTCCCCACTCCACCCAGGGACAGGGCCCATCTGTCCTACATGTGGAGAATTTAAGTACTCTGGCCAAGGTCACTCTGTTAGTAGGAAGCCCTTTGTATATTTATGGAGGAAACACATGTAAGAAACCATATGGAACACACTGAAAATAGGAACTGGTTTAGGAAGGCTGTTTTATTTGAATTCATGGGAGACCAATCCTAGTAGATAATGAAGAAGAAAGGAATGCTTGTGACATCTTCACGCTCACATCTTATGCCTAGGACACACTCACCTAGTCCACCTTGCAAGACTGCTGTGGCAGTGAGACACAAGGTATTCAGAAATACCTGAAAATGGCAGTGCACAGTGCTAATGAAGGCTGGGCACTTGGGATCTCGTCAAGGCACAGTGTGCTGGCTTCCCAAGTCCTCCCATCTGGTCTTTCTTGAATGTGAAGCAACACGATGTGCAAGGAGAGAACTGACCGAGTACACCCCGGTGCCCCACACCGCACAACCCTTTGCAACCATCGGAGAAGCAGGCAGCAATCGTGCGACGGTACTTCACAGACTTCCATGGAAAATGGAATTAAAAGAGAAGCTTCTTTTGTTTCTTGGTGCTGAAAAATTTTGAAATTGCATACAGGAGGGTTTTCAAAGCATGCACGGAGAATGTGAATTATGAAAACATGAGGCATCGGTTCTAAAACTGTTTTGCACCAAAATTGACCTATCTCTTCACTCCATTTTTCTAGGCACCTTTTTTTAAGGACCTTCCTATTGTTGCCCCAGTGCTGGACCAACAGTTTTGAGAAAAAAAAAACCAAGTGAGTAATCACACTGTCATCTATGGTTGCCTTTGAGAATCAGGACTGTCAGCATACAGAAAGGAGGCACAGATGTTAAGCAGAATAGGTTAAATAAAACCGCATGCAGTTCAGAATTTAAATCACAAGTAGCAGTAGGAACTTATGATGTACTTTTATTACTAACAACAACATGTTTCCTAGTCTGTTCACTGGAAAGACCTTCAAAATGATGAACACGCAAGAATCATGGCCACTGGTAAGTGCCCAGATGTGATCACTAAACAGCATTTCCCACCTGGAAGAATCAGCGATCTCTAGAGAAACAGCTCGTCCCAGGTCCAGGGCAGAGCCTGGGACACTGCAGCTTCCTTGCTATTTGGATGACGTCAAAGACTGTCAGGGTGATGTCGGAAGGAGCCAGCTGGCCAGAGGCGACACCATCCACGCATCAATAAAGATAAGCTAAACAGACTACAACACATCAAATCTGCCCAAGGTCACTAGTTTTCAAGATACTAACAACAGCAACAACAACAAACCAAATTGGCCACCACCGGAAGGTGATAGCAAACCACACATTGTGCTGAAAACTGGCAAATGAAGGAAAGGCAGCAAATGTGTATCTTGGGTTTTGTACATGAACTACACAGCTAGTTAACCAAGCAGTAGTTAGGGAAGCTTTTCTTGATGGACATACGCCAGCTAACAAATGAAGACAGCGTGATTTCACGGAAACATCACCTTTGTGTGACCCCCAGTGAACTAGTGGATTCAAGAATGAACATCAACACCACCAGAATCACTAAAGGAGAAACCGCAAGGCCTTGTGTGCCTTCTGCCAGGAGGGGACTGCCCAATCTCTCAAGTATTTTTGTCCATAAAAATCAAATCTGAATTTGATGCAATACCCCCAGTGAAGCAACCAAGGTATAGGAAATGCAGAGGACAGAAGTGCACGGTAAACAGCACCACAAGGCTGCAATCAGAAAAATCCACCGACTGTGGACATCTTTGCAGGGCCACAGATCCTACTTTTTCATCAAGTAAGTTGCAAGGGCTGAGGTGGGGCGGGGGTGAGAGATAAGGGCAGCCTGTTCAGGCATCTAAACGTCCATCTACCATATGTGTGCACTTAGTGGGATTCTAAATTTAAATAAAGCTTAGAAAAAGGCATTTATGGAAATCAACCTTAATTTTGAGCATTTGATATTAAGAGTACTGGGGGCTGGTGTTGTGGTACAGCAGGTGAAGCCATCGGCAACCCATACGAGCATGGTTCAAGTGCCGGCTGCTCCCTGCTCATCCAGCTCCCTGCTAATATTCCGGGGAAAGCAGCAGAGATGGCCCACGTGCTCCGGCCCTTGTTACCATGTGGGAGACTCAGAAAAAGCTCCTGGCCCAGCCCTGGATATTGTGCTTCCACTCAGAAGCTCTGGGCAAATGACCAGGCAAAGCCACGTGACAAGACCCTGGCTGTATTCTCACACCGTTCTGTGTGCACCGAGTTTCCCGAGTTACAGCAGAAGATGTACAGGAGAGGAACCACCCGAGTTCTTTTTCAGGGAGCCCGCGGGTGAGGGAGAAGTGCCTGAGCGAGCACGCTCAGCACGTCAGGTGGATTCCATGCGCTTCCAACTTACGATGCAGCACTGTAATCGAGGAGCATCTGCAACCGCAAGTGTCTGTTTCTACACAACCCTATCCAGAAAAAGAAATCCTGGGATTTCACTGTGCATCTGCCTGGAAGAGCAAATGGGCTTCTAGATACTACCATGGGGAATTTTAACTAGTCACGATGCCCAGGGCTTGTGTTAAAGGGTGGAGTGGCGAAGTGGACAGAGGAACACCTTACGACACAGCCATTGGAGGAGGTAAGCAAACCTGGGCGTCTTCAAACGTGTATCTCCCTCCGTCCTTGACATTGTGACTGGTGATCTCATAGCTGTGGGAATCCAAGTTGATTGCACTCGGGGCTCCTGGAGCCAGGAACTCTTGCCAGATTTCTTCCACCCTCTTGGCCACGTCTTGCAGGGGTTGTTTCTTGAGGTCTTGGACAGCCAGCCAGAACCTGAAGCAGGTGCAGAGACAGTCAGTGCCAAGCGCTCAGCGTCTGGCCCCGGATGGAGATGGTCCTAGGGCTGATGTCCATAAAACTCATTCCATAACACCCCCCAGCCCACCCTGAGGTCATCTTCTTGGTCACAAAGACCACGGGGACTGCTGAAAATACAGTGTTCCACTATTGCGGAGTGCAGAAAAGAAATGGACATTAAGACCAGTGTGTTTGTAGCCACTGTGGTGAGGTTCTTCTCGCTACACCAAGGTTTGCCACCCTCGGCTCTCATTTCAGGCTGGGTAAATGACCACAATAGGGGCAGTCTTGGGCATCGTGGGACACCCATCAGCAACTTTGGCCTCTATCCAGGAGATGCCAATAGTTATGACAATTAAACACATTTCCAGATATTACCAGATGTCCCTAGGAAGGTAAAATTACCTCTGGATGAGATCCACTGAGCTACACGGACAAAGGGCATCCCTTTGTTAAATCTGCCTGGGATCAATGGGAGGCAACAAAATGAAGCAGCAGAATCCTGAAATCACACACAAAAACGTAGAGCTGGGAGGAGGCAGCCATTCATGTGATTGGCAGGACTAGTGTTCAGCATGGTGCGTGACCTAGGGTAGGCATTCAATGAATGGCTTCCATGTTGAAGGTGAGCTCATCTGGAGGAAGGGGCAGCAGGGCGGGGTGGGGGACGATGCCTAAGGGTCCTCCAGGGAGCTCCTGCTCACCTGCACGTGTGCCTCTCTTCAACCTCAGTGCAGGTGCATCCCTACGGAGCACCTCCGGGGAGCTCTTTCCTGCTGGGAGCCGAGCCTTGGACCACAGCTCCCTGCTCTGCAGGAGTGGTCCCACGGCAGCCTTCCAGGGGGACTCAGGGCTGGGCAGCACTCTCTGCCCTGGGATTGGGACAGGCCAAGTTTCCCTAAGGACCAGTCCACTGGGCGGCTCTCCCCGCCAAGGGACTACCCCATGTGGTCTCAGCAGCGAGCGGGGAGGGACAAAGAAGCAGAACAGGGAGGAAGTGCATTTAGCCTGTCAATGAATTCCAAGCAAAGTAAGATGCACTTGCATTTTTTAAACAAGCATGTTTTTCTGTTGCTTTTCAGAGAAATCAGAGTACAGTGCATGGCCTAAAGGCGCCACTTAGTGGCAGGCTAGGGTAATGCAGCCCCATTTCCATAAGGAGAGAAACCTGGTTGTTTCTTTACAGAAAACCCTCGTGGTTGTGGTTCCCTCCTGGATCCCAGAGCACCGGGTCCAAGGCGGGGAAGGAGAGGCTTCACTGATCAGATCCGAGGAAGCTCAGTTCTGCCCTCGTTCTGCCCCTGAGCGCCTCCCTCCTCACCTGTAACCTGGGCTACCTTCCCATCCAGACTCAGAAACAATTTCAGCCCCACTGCGGGGTTGGGGTGGGGGGTGGGGAGGGGTCGGCACAGCTGCAGGATCAGTACTGGCCCCCTGGGCTCTTGCTAATGCCACCTGTTGTCACCCGCCCCTAACCCCAGCCCTTTCTCTGGCTGCCAGGGGAGAGGGAACAGCAGTGTCTCCTTCGCCGGAGTCCAGTGGGTAGGGGAAGAAAGAATCTAGAATCACTCAGATGAGCTGTCACTCCGGCACCTCCACCTCCCAGACCCACCCCAAGTCCTCAGGTCTCTGTGAGATGAGGAAGTGACCGGGATGTGGCAGCTGACGAGCATCCCCTGGTGACGCACATGCCAGCCAAGCTTTCTCTGGCTGGAAGAAGGTGCCTGATGGGCAGGGGAGACCAGCTCGAATAAAGGAAGCTGGTGTTGATATTTCAAAGGGCTGGAGGGAGTGCTGGGTGGCAAGTCACCAAGACTAAGTCAGTGGGTCTTCCTCAGGCACACGTCAGGGCTGCCAGGGAGCCAGCTCTCTCTTGGGTGTCCCTCTGGCCTGGATCCCTGGCTTGCAGCCACTCCTGGGGCAGCAACCTTTCTAGCCTGCCAGACCCCCCGGCCGGGTGGCTTCTATGCCCTTCTGTCATCTCTGTCCCCTGCCCTCATTCTGCCCTGGGGTTGGGTTGGGGAAGGAGAAGGAGCAACTGAGCTCCTCTGGGAAGAACTGGGACGACGTGGGGGAGCCCGTGGTCACGGAAGCCCCAGAGTGCCTTTTGTAGAATTATTTTGGGGTCACGGGAATGCATGCCCCTCAGCTGCAGGGGGTTCAGAGGAGCTGCAGAGGCCAATTTCAGTGTCACGCGGGATGGACTTTCGCATAGAAATTAAAAGATTCCCTTTGCCAGGCAAGCCCCAGAATTAAAATCAAAGTACAAGGAGAAACAATACGTAGGTTAGAGGAGGTGGAAGGGAGCGGTGGGGGTGGCAGTGCCTGGGCAGTTTTCTCTCCCCAGCCCTCTGTCTGCCTTGAAAGTGACCTGCCTTGTCCTTCTCCAGTGACAGCAAAAACACCGGCACACCACGGGATGAGTTGACCATCCCCGGCTTTGAAGCACCTTTGTGTTCCCTTGAAATTCAGGCTGGGCCCTGGCGCAGAGCCGAGGCTGAGGTGGCTGTCCCCTCCCCCGCCACGCCCAGAGCCACGAAGGCTCCGCTCCCGCACATCCAGTGCCAACGCGAGGCCCTGGGAGACTCCCGGAGCTTCTGCTCTTATCAGGAGCCTGCAGGTCCCGCTAGTCCCCGAGAATGCCGGCAGGGAGGGAGGTGCCAGCAGCAGCAAGGCCCTGGTGACAGCAGGCCACGAGGACTGGCTGGTATCAGGGAGACCACCTGTCTCACCTTGCCCCTGGAAGCTGCCAATCTGCAGAGCAGCAGGAGGCGGCGGGCATTTGATGCACGTTAACGGCTTTGAGATAAGCAAAGGCAGGGCAGGGGGAGAGGCAGCCTGGGCTCAGGCTCCTCTGGGGCTGGGATGAGGCCGAGGTGCATGGGTGGGACTGGAGGGTGGCCCAGGGGCTGCCCCCCGGGGGTGGGCTCCTCTCCCGTGGCTGCTGATGGGAAGTTGGGCTTCTCCGCTCCCAGCCAGCTGGCATCAGAGCCCTTGACCCTTCTCCATCTCGCGGGGAGTCTGGCAGCCCTCCCGGGCCCCAGCTTAGCTTACCTAGCTTTTCACAAACTAGATTTCCGTGGCTTAGAAAATGCTCTTTTGGGTTGGTTCCCAGAGAAAAGCAAACTCCTGGGCAGAACACAGTGTGTCTGCGCCCTCTGCTGGTCAAGCAGAGACTGCAGAACAATGGAATTAAACTTGACTCCCTAACCGCTTGGGCTGAAATTCTCAGGCACCTGTCAGGTCCCCTGGCCGCCTGTGTTCCCAGCCACTGTGGGCTTGGTTAGTGCGGGGTGCCGCTGGGCTGAGGGCACTTCCCGAGGGTTCCTGGGGCGCGGGGCTGCTGCGGGAGGCAGGGGCTCTGGAGGCAGACTTGACAGGGTCTCCTGTGCTCTCTTTTAATTGCTTCTCTCCTCAGCTGACACCGTGCGGAACCACGATCATCAATCTGCAGGTTAGGAGAACAACTCCACTCTCTCAGGAGACATCACAGCTCATAAAAAATGTACAGGGGATGCGTCTGGCTGTGGCTTTTGATTTTTTTAACCCATGCCCTGCTGTGTGGCAGAGGGTGTCAACCAGGGAGGGCAAAGACTTGGGCAGGGGAAGTGCAGGTGTCGGGGGTAGGGAAAGTGCACCCCTCTGGGACAACGCAGGGTGAAGGACTCGGCACGACTGCGAGGCTCCCAGCTTCTGGCAAAGCCGCCGGCACTCAGAAGGCACCCATCTGACAGCTGTCTCCCTGGGCCCACACAGCCTGTGTGGCAGGGAGTGGCAGCACGCTGGCTGTGCCCCCTGCTAGGATGTGGCTGTTTCTTTTGGTGTCCCACACAGGTACAGGTGTTGAAGGCTTGGTGCTCAATGTTTTACGTTTGTGGATAATAGGTTAAGAGTGAGGATGTAGCCCCAGGTGGGGGGTGTCACTCCTTCTCCCCAGAACTGGTCAAGAGCCCAGGCTACTGGCACTGCAGCACAGAAGGGGAAAAGACTAACAAGAGCTCTGCTGGACACACTGAAAAATGGTGCCCCTTACGCCCCCCTGGTAGATGGGGCTGCTTAGCTCAGAACAGTTTTGCATAGCACACAGGGGGAGGTATTTGGGTCACTGGTTCTGTGCCCTTGGAAGGGGAGTCCTCACGAGGGGGTTGGATATCTAAGATGAGTTTGGCCAAAGCTCTCTCTGCTTCCTGGCTGGCCTTGTGGTCCTTTCGCTCTCCACGGTCTGGCATTTGCTGTCACTGTCCTCGCTAGATGCCCAACCCGCAGGGCTACTGGATCTTAGACTGTGAACCTCCAAAATCATTAGCCAAAATAAGCCTCCGTCCTTCTTACACTTCTCTCAGGCACTTGTTAGAGTGAAAGCTGCCCCACACAGCCTGCGGGCCCTCGACATGACACTCCTCCCTCATCTCATAGACTCACCAGAAGAAAATGATCAGAGGACGACTCATTACAGTGTACGTCATAGAACTCTCCCCCTCTCCCTAGGAAGAGCCCACATGACATTCTGCAGCCCTGGTATAAATTTGATCCCTTGGCTCCTTACCTGGAACTCTGTGTGCTATGCAAAACTGTTCTGAGCTAAGCAGCCCCATCTACCAGGGAGGTGTAAGGGGCACCACTTGTCAGTGTGTCCAGCAGAGCTCTTGTTAGTCTTTTCCCCTTCTGTGCTACAGTGCCAGTAGCCTGGGCTCCTGACCAGTTCCAGGGAGAAGGAGTGACCCCGGCATGGCCAGCAGGATCTCCAGCTGTGCCATATTACACAACTCCTAGGGGCTGCCATGTACACAGCCCACAGTGGAGGTGCATCTGTGTGGCCACCTGGACAAGGGGGGTAAAATGCAGTGAGTTCTGAATCCTCAGGGATGAAGGGAAGAAAAACCAAAGGGAAGAGGAGGAGAGGAAGAAACTACAGTGCACTGGGTGACTGGAGAGTCCTAACGTATAGGATTTCACACTGAGTCCCCGCCATGGACCCAACCACGCTGAGTATTATAAACTTGGAAGTGGGGGCATCCGGGCAGGGTTGAGAAGCCTCAGGCCACACTTCTTCTCTCTGTCCTATTTTCTTTTTCCTCTTTTCTGTCGTCGGTTGGAAGGGAGCCTCTTGAAGTTGGGGTTTGTGCGTGTACACTGGGGCTGGCACACTCCCTACATGCTCATGCAACATTTTTCCACTTGGCATTAAATGGAGCCCTCCTGGCACGGGGTAAGGAGCTGGCAGAGGCACAGGAGGTAATGGAGGAGGAAGCACTGAACACCTGCCAGGGACACACTCCTGGGCTCTCAGGGGGATGTGTATCTGGGGAGACCAATCTCAACTGGTATGTGTTCTGGCCACACTCAGGGCTTCCTGGAGTGACTACCCCAGAATGGGCAGGGTGGCAGGTGAGCCAGGAGATGCTCCTGGGGTCCTCACACTGACCAGGACCCTAGGTCGTTCTCCAAACTTCCTCTAGCAGTGCAGGTGGCAAAGGGTCCTAAGGCCACTTGCAGACTGAGAAGCAGGCAAGTAAAGGGGTCTCACGCTATTTGGAAAGTCAAGGTGGGCAGAGGTGAGAAGGGGCAATGGGGAGGACCCCCAGGTGTGGCTCTCGGAGACTGTGGTAGTCAGAGTTTCCTTAACTCCAACTAAAATCCCAGAGCGCAGCTTCTTGGGAAGGCAAAGGTTTATTCTGGCTTACAATTTGGAGGTTCATCATTCAGGATTAGGCAGTGCCACTAATCTGGTGTCTGGGGGAGGCTGGCCATGGAGGAACTTGTGCTAAGAACTGATCACTAGGTGATCCAGGAAGCAGAGACCAAAGCTGGGCCATACCTGACTTCAGTGACCATCAACCTCCTTGTGAGAACTGCCTTCTGGGGGTAAAGCCCCTGGTGACCTAAACCCTCCCACAGCTCATCTCCTAGCTGCCATGATTAGATCAAGTCCCCACCCGAATCCATCCACAGTTAACACCAGACCTTGAGGTTTCAACACCCGCATGACTTTGGAGAGCCAACTCCCACTCAACCCATAGCAGACTGTGCTGAGCGTACAAAGTGGGGCTGAGCTGGCTACACATGAGGCTGCCTGGGTGCATGAGCTGCCCACAGAGGGGTCTGCATCCCATGTGGCACCTGTTTCCGGGCACAGTCGAGGAGGCTGGTCTGAGTACACTCCCATGGAGCCTAAGACGAGTCCAGCCTCCTGTTACAAGTACTTCATTAGGAATGGAAGAGATGCTCTTAGAACAATTAGAACAATGCCCGAACACAAGGAAGGAACTCTCCTACTGGTAGCCTGAAAGATTCCCCAGCCTTCTTGCTTGTGCCTAGGAAGGCACTGAACGCAGGGTGAGCCGGCATCACATGTCTTCCCAGGTTTCTTGGTAGGGACTGTCGCTTTGCCACCCTTGGCTCAGTCCCCCAGCTTACAATGTTCTCCTTGCTCCTAGCAGCCTGTGTATTCTTCAGAGCCGCGTTTACGATCTGCCTTCTTGGGGTGGGACAATGCTTCTTCCCTCATTTAACCACTTCTGAAATAGTTCTGAGAGGTTGCACTCATATATAGATATTTCATGACTGAGCTGTCCTGTGCTGTTTCTTCAAGATCCTACAGAGTGGCTGGAGGACAAGAGCGTGCAGCCTGACTCTCTGGCGTCCCTCAGAGGACCCTCGGCCGGGGCTCGATACAGCATCGCTGTGTCCCAGACATCACTTGGTGGATGCATTGGACTTGGATGGTCTCTAACTTCGAATAAATACCACGGATTCTACAAGTCAACATTGGTGGGGGCAGCCCCTTGCCTGTAGCTCATCATACACACTCTGACTTTTTCAAGGAAAAAAAATCTGAAATATTAATAAGACCCATTTTGAAGAGAACAGCCTCAGAAGATGAGACTTAGCTGTGTATTTGAAAGAGAACAGTGCAAAGAAAAAAACAAGAAGCGTGCTCCACCTTACCCAGCGGGGAGCCATCAGCTTGCTACAAGCACTAAGAGGCTTGGGTAAGCCAAGAGTTCCATGGGTCTCTCTCATTCTTCATCTAACGCAACGGCAGGCTGAATAATGACCAAGAGCCCTGTCCCTTGTCACGTGTCCTCTTCCCTTCCTCTCACCTTGGGCCCCGCATTTTGAATTTTTTTCTATTAAACAGCAACTATCGAAACATTTTGCTCATAAAGTATTAGTTATAGTCCAACAGACACCAAATCACTGACTGCAGAGGATCAAGGCATGCAGTTCATAAAATTTCCTGAGCAAGGAAAAGCCATCTTTGATTCACAGGTGCATCACGCCTCTGGTTACCAGTGATACTTATTTGGGATGTTCAGAACTCTGAAATGAGCCTAGGGCCCCTCTTTCCTGGCTGGCCCTTCAGATTGTAGGGCCCCTGATCAGGACGTTTGGAGGGGAGCACCTCTGATCCATTTCTCCCATCTGAGGTTCCAAGGAGCTTTACTTAACTAGTGGTGCTGTCAAACCCTTGGCTGTTATCCAAGATGTGTTTCCAGTTAGTTGAGCAAATGCCATCCATGCTTAAAGAACTAAAAGATGCTGGTGTTGGGAGGTGCCAGGATGGTGCTAACAAAGTTGCATGCTTTAATTTGTTCTTTTGCATTTCAACCTTTGCCAGATTGGTGGCAAATTGACTTTGAACCCTAACAATATTTGCCTGAGAAAGGGAGGTGCAGAGATGGATTATGCAAATTTCGTCACGCATCCTACACACAGCTCAAGCCTCTGAGAGACTTACCTGAGGTTTTCTGAGCTGAATTCAGACTCCAGAAATCGGAGGAACTGGTCCCGCCCGACCTGGTCCTTCAGGACCTCATCGAAAGAGAAGCCCCATCTTTTCACTCGCTGCTGGCTGGGCTCTTTGCTTTGGGGAGAAGAAGAGAAGGATTGAAAAATGATCGATTCCAGGCAAAGGCCTGTATCATACTCTTTGATAACTCGAGTTCATTTTGTCTCACGCACTAAAGGGAAATGTCTCATGTTTAACGGACAGATTCTATACAATCTGCATAAATTCCAAATGTGAGCTTTGGGATAGCAATAGTAGCCAACAGTAAGAGCTTTCTTTAGTGGAGGGACGTGGGGGCAGGTTAAGCGGCTGCTTGGCCAAACTCAAGCAAGCAATCCGAAGAACTCACCACCTCCCTCCTCCTCTCAATTCCATCTATTATGCAGGAATTACTTCCTGATGACATTTTATCAACAATTCTGTATCGTCACTTGGGATTTTAAGGACTTGTGCCATTGTCTCTCTCTGAGCTGAGGACACACACCAAACCTTATACAGCTTTGCAGTCACCATCACACAAGAGTTCAGCACTGAAAGGAAACTGACTTCAAACAAATGTACCTAATGATGTGATGGATGTGTCCCTATCCTCACTGCACTTCCTAAAAGACACTGGCTGGGTGTTTTGTGGCATGGTGGGATAAGCCACCACCTGCGACACTGGCACCCCATATGGGTACTGGTTTGAGTCTTGGCTGCTCCACTTCTGATGCAGCTCCCTGCTAATGCACCTGGGAAAGCAGCAGAAGAGGCCCAAGTACTTGGACCCCTGCACCCACATGAGAGACCAGGATTAAACTCCTGGCTCCTGGCCTCAGCCTGGCCCAGTTCTAGCCATGCAGCCAACTGGGGAGTGAACCAGTGGACGAAAGATCCTCCCCCCTACCCCTTTCTTTCTCTCTGTATTTCTCCAAATCTCCCTTTCAAATAAGTAAATAAATCTTAAAAAAAATAAAGAAAAAGGAAAAAAAAAGGCACTAGCTGGGAGCCTTTTTCTAACTTTCATTTGTCCTCTGTATCCACAGATTCTCATCAAATTCCTGCCACCCACTGGGCAGCCCAGACAGACACATAGCAAAGCCAGGTGGCTCTCCAAGGGAGTCCTTCAATTCCAGCTGAGGACGGAAGACGTCTCCCCAGATGACAGTAGGAAAGTCCAGTTCAGAGAACAGCCCATGTATAAAAACACGCATTTCTGCAGGGCCAGCACAGTGTCAGGAGTTTTCCGTGCAGTGCTCCACTTGAACCTTAGTGCCAGCCAGGCAGGTGGGTATCTGTGTTCAGAGTTCAAAAGAGGCCAATTGTCTAGGACCACACAGCCATGAGTGGCAGTCTACCTATTTATATTTTTTACCCTACTACTTTGCCTTCTATAAGAGTTTGTGGAAAATGGAATTAACATCTAAGTTAATTTAGTGCAAAAAAAATTTGAAATCTGAGCATATGAGGGGTCCTCAAAAAGTTCATGGAATGTGTATATTACAAAAAAAAAAAAAAAACTATGTAAGGATTTCAAAGTGTGTTTGCATCCAAATAAACTTAGATACTAATTCCCTTTGCCCACTAACTTGTTGAAGCACCCTGAGCCAAATAATTGTGTGAAAAGATTCTTAAGTACATTAACAAAGAAATTAGAAGCAAAATGAGATTTTTTTTTAACCAAGGAGTTTTACAGAGGAAAAACATTGATGATATTTGTGTTGGTACAGATGTGGAGAAACAGGCACCTTAAGCTACGGGAAATCTGAGCACAGGAACTAGCATTAAAATATGCATACAATTCCTAGCAATTCTACTTCTGGAAAATTTATCCTAAAGAAACAACTGGACTCGCATATAAGAATGTTCCTTGAATTGTTATTAATACTTGCCAAAAAAATGGACATACTCTAAATATTTATGACCTGGGGGTTGGCTGAATCACTTTTATTTACTGCAGCTGTTAAAAAGGATAGGGTAGATCTATATGTGTTTACACAGAATGACTGACATTATATAATGTTAATTTAAAAAACTGGACAATGTCTACATAATGAACCCACTTATGTTAAAGAATAGGATATTATATTGGCACAAAAATCCAAATGGACAGACACTAAATCCGAGGTTCCCAAACTTTCTGAGTCCATGGCATCCTTGCTGTCTGAGTCTTTCTTGGTGTCCCTGGACCAAAAGAAGCATCTAGCAGTTTCACTTATCAAAGGACAAGACCAACCAACTTAATATGGATTTATGCCTTAAAAACTTGGTAGCTGTTGGAAATAAGACATAAACTGAAAAATATTTCATTTCATTCGTAAGTGACCACAGTGTACAACTGCTGGGCACTGTACATCTTCTCAGGCTTAACGACCAGACGGGACTTCACCGCTCTCACCACGCTGGTGCTGACACAGTCCTTGCTTTGTATCAGATTTGCAAAGACGCGACATCATCCAAAGGGATGTGATGTGCTCAGATGTTGAAACCGAAGGACCGTCATCCAGTAGCGTACGCTGCATCTGTCGCACGTCACCCCATCCCTGTCTCCCTCAGCAATTGAGAACGACCTTGAGCGACCTCAGGAGTTCCCTGCAGCACTGCAGGGTTCCCTGGTGCATGTGGGAAGCGGGCATCAGACGATACACACAGGTTTGCCCTGGAAGCTGTGGGGAGCAACCGGGAGCAACTCGGACTAGACTGTTACTGGAATTAAGACTTATTCTATGCATCTGCTCTCCCACAATATGGCGCTGGGAGAGGAGGAAACAGCTTCTACACAGCTGCCTCCAGTTCAACCAATAAACAGCAGGACCTGCTCCTGATTGGAGGAGAGCAGCGTACTCGGCGTGTGGGTAGCAGAGTTGGGATTGGTGGAAGAGGACTATAAAGGAGGAGAGAGACAACATGCACCAGGAACACCTGAAGAACATCTGAGCAGCCCCCGAGAGAGCTGGCCGGCGGTGTGCCGCTCCCCCGCGGAAGTGGGGAAAGTGGCAGGGGGCCCGCCCCTCCACGGAGGTGGAAGGGACGGTAGCCAACCCGGGAAGAACCAGCAGCAAACCCGGGGAGGGCCGAGCAGACGAAAGAACAGCGCAGGGTCCTGTGTCGTTCCTCCACGAAGAGGGGGAGCGACAGAAGCTGAGACTGTGTTGGGGGAAGAGGCCTTTCCTCTATGCACAGCTTCAACTGTACAGAATAACAACTACGACTGCAGTGACTTTCTAGGAAGTTTTCCCATTGCAGAGCAAGGAGCGAAAGTGCTGGAGAGAGTGAGAGAAATAAAGAAAAGAGAAACGAGATGAAAAGTTACTCAGCGGAGAGGCAGAGGGCACGGGGCTCCACCACATTGGGTACGTTTCTGTGTGCGCCTTCTAGAATCCCGAGAGGGGGCCAGGACCCCCTGGGCTTCAGTTGCCCGGATATTAAATCAGCACACCAGCTTCCCTCGCAGGGACGGAGCCGCAGAACGACGGAATTGCTGCCGCCAGTGGCTCCATGAGAGCGGAGTGATGAAAGTGATGAAAGTCGCGGCTCTGGAACCTTCCACCTGGGTTCTGATCCTGGCCACATCCTGGCTGTACGACCTTGGGCAAGTTAACTAGTTTCCTTACCTGTTCCGTGTTGAGGATAATGACATTGCAGAGTCGATGGAAGACACTCCCTGGGCAACGGGCCAGCACACACTGAGCGCCAGCTACTGCTTCTGCTGTCTGCTCTTACTTTCTAATGGGAAAACCCCAGACTGGGCCACTGGGTTCCGCCCTTCCAGCAGTGAGACCTAGGGCTCGGCCAGCAACTGTCCTAGTTATGATGATGCCAAAAGGGACAGAGAGAGAGGTCAGAGGGGAGCCACACAAAGCTAGGAGAGGCACAGCCATGAGGAAGCAGAACTCGGTCTGGAGGTTTCCTAAAGCATTTCTGTCCTCATGATAAAAGGGAGCAAGTGGCAGACAGAAGCAAGGTGATCCCGTGGACGGTTTTCTGCATTTCTGCCCTGGGCTTACCTCATCTCCACGTCCCATAAAGTGATGTCATCACTGACCCAGGGGTTGGCCGGCTCGGCGGGTGTCACGAAGGGGTCGTATTCCGCATACTGTTCCGTGTAGGCGATCAGGCTGCAGGAGGGAAGCAGAGTAAAGAATGGCTCCGATCTCCTAGAAAAACGTTTATTCTGTCTTAGGCAAACATGGCAGCCATCTTCACAGAATTCTAAACTAAAGGCAAAAAGTCATCTCCACTCCTGCGACTGGCAGATCATGCTGTTTTCTCACGTGTCCTTGTTCCCTACTCATGAGCAAAGTGCCACTCTGGCACTGTGACGTCGAGTCCTCACACGTGTGACGCCTGCTTTCCCACTTTGCCTGAACCTCACTGCCTCTCTCCTTGCTAGTGCTAGCTTTACCGACGCACTGGTCCACACCTGCTTGTGCACCACTTTCCCACAGTGAAGGTGGATCTCAACACATGGGCAGCAGGTGGAAGACATCCTTCTGCCACTCCGGGATCCCCAGCTGGATGACTTTTTATTATAAAGACTTTTTTTTAAAAAAAGATTTATTTATTTGAGAGGTAGAGTTACAGACACAGAGAAGGAGAGACAGAAAGGTCTTCTATCTGTTGGTTCACTCCCCAAATGGCTACAATGGCCAGAGCTGGGCTGATTTAAAACCAGGAGCCAGAAACTTCTTCCAGGTCTCCCATGCAGGTGCAGGGGCTCAAGCTCTTGGGCTATCTTCTACTGCTTTCCCAGACCATAACAAAGAGCTGGTTCAGAAAAGGAGCAGCTGGGACTTGAACTGGTGTCCATATGGGATGTCGGCGCTACAGGCAGAGGCTTATCCTACTATGCCACAGTGTCAGCTCCTATAAAGACTTTTAAACCCTGGCAGATCACAAGGACTTACCTAAGCATTTTTCTTTCTTTCTTTCTTTTTAAAACAGGCCACTTGTTCTTTTTTTTTTTAAATATTTATTTATTTATTTGAAAGTCAGAGTTACACAGTGAGAGGAGAGGCAGTGGGAGAGAGAGGTCTTCCATCCGCTGGTTCACTCCCCAGTTGGCTGCAACGTCTGGAGCTTCGCCAATCTGAAGCTAGGGACCAGGAGCTTCTTCCAGGTCTCCCACATGGGTACAGGGGCCCAAGGACTTGGGCCATCTTCTACTGCTTTCTCAGGCCATAGCAGAGAGCTAAATTGGAAGTGGAGCATCTGGGTCTCGAACTGGCACCCACATGGGATGTGGGCACTAAAGGTGGCAGCTTTATCTGCTACACCACAGCGCTGGCCCCTAAGCATTTTTCTAAAATCAACTTAGTTGTTCCAGTTATAATTATAATCTAATGTATAAGCAGCAAACTCACAATGTTAAACTAAGCCATTAATATAATACTTAAAACTTTCACTTTAAAATGTTTTAAAATTGACTTTTGTAAAATGTGAGAGGCAGAGATAGAAAGATAGTTAAACAGAGAAAGAGCCAGAGAGACAGAGAGCTCCCATCCGCTAGTTCACTCCCGAGGCCCACAGTGGCCTGGATTGATCTGGAGCTGAAGCTGGGAGCCAGGAACTCAGTGTAGGTGTCCCCTGTGGGTGACACAGACGCAATTACTTGAGTCATCACTGCTGCCTCCCAAGAAGCTGGGGGAAGCTGGAGTCAGGAGCCGGAGGCAGGACTTGAATCCAGGTACTCTGATATGAGAAACAGGAGTTTAACTGCCAGGCCTCACAACGGCCCCTCTAAATTTTATTTCTATGAACATATATGGGGATAGCTAAAATAGTACTCGTAAAATAGTGCTAAGGGCTTAGAAGTGCAAGAGAGGAAAACGCAATGATGTGGTTTTTTTCTTCTACCTCTCCTTAGTCATCCGCTCTCCATGTCCTGTTCTTCTCCAGCAGTTATCTGAATCAGTCTAAATTGTATGCTTACAGCTGCTCTTGATTTGTTAATTTTAGGCAAATATTTATCTGCCTAATAATCCCCCAGTCCCTTTCCCTTCGCTTGCAATGCTCCTCCAGATTTATACAGCAATTTTTGTTAAAGCGGTGGCCGGTGTTCACACCATTAATCCAGATAAAAATCATCTGATCCTCAAATAAGTATCACCCTCCCATTTTCAAGTGTTGCAACAAACCTGTAAAACATACAGCAAATGGTTTTTCAGAGCTTAAGCACATCAGATAATCTATCAGTTCTGCCCCTGCTTCCGGCAGCTTCTCTCCCTCAGTCTTGAGCCCCTTGCTCTACTCTGGACCGCCTGCTCTGTGAACCTGATGCAGAATCGTCATCCTGGGACTTACTTCACTTCTGTGTTGGAGCTCTTGTTTCCTTAATTCATGTATGATTCTTGTTTTTACTCCCTGGTTGTGTTGAAGCACATCCTATAGTAGTTTTCTAACAAAGGGTGCAGGAGAGTTAAATATTTTGAGTTCTTTCAGTTCTAAAAAAATGCTTTTATTCCCATACTTGAGTGATAGTGCTTTTTGGCAACCCCAGTAACATTACTGAGAAGTCAGGGTCCATTTGATTTTTGTTCTTTTGTTCACTTTCTCTACTCTTTGTCAGCATAGAATCTTTGTTGCTGAAGTGCTGTGAAACTTTACCATAGCCCTTACTACTTGTTTTTACTGTGCTATATACAATATATAAAAATATTTCCAATAATTCATATTATTTCTTTGCTAATTTCTTTCTTCTAAAATGATTTTATTTATCTGAAAGGCAGAGTTACAAGGAGAGAGGGAGAGACAGAGAGAGAGGTCTTCCATCTGCTGGTTCACTCCCTAAATGGCCACAACGGCTGGCCAAATAAACGAACCTGGTACTCCATGCAGGTCCTCAACATGGGTTCAGGGGCCCAAGGACTTGGACCATCTTCTACTGCTTCTCAGGCACATCAGCAGGGAACTGGATCCAAAGTGGAGCAGCCTGCACTGGAACCATTTGGTCAGGGCTAGGCTGGCCGAAAGCCAGGAGCCAAGAACTCCAGCTTGGTCTCCCAGCTGGGAGCACGGCTGGGACACAGTCACTAGAGCCTTCACTGCCGTCACCCAGGGTACACATCGCAGCCAGGTGTTGAACACAGGGACTCTGATGTGTGACATAGGCATCATTTAAAAATCAGTTTGAGAGAGGGGAAGAGGGAACATGCTCCCACCAGCTGGTTCACTCTCCAAATGCCTGCAAGAGCTGGGGCTGAGAAATCAATCCAATCTCCCATGTAGGTGGCAGGGATCCAAGTACTTGAGCCATCATCTACTGCCTCCTGGGGCGCACGCTAGTAGGAACCTGGAATTGGGAGCAGAGCTGAGACTCCACTGTAGGCACTCTGACGTGGGATGCAGGCGTCTTAACTGCTGCCTTAGGCACTGTGCCAGATGTTCTCAAATGTTCTGCTCCCTACCCCCACCCTCCATAACCTTCTCTATGAGGCTCAAGTGCTAAATGTTTTATGCTTTGTGAGCCAGATGGTGTCGGGTCTATTGTTGTAGCATGGAAGCAGCCTCTGACAACTTGTAAATGAGTGTGTGTGATTGTGTTTCAATAAAACTTTATTCATAAAAGCAGAGAATGGGAGGTTGGCACTGTGGCATAGTAGGCTAAGCCTTGTCTGTGGTGCTGGCATCCCATATGAGCACCGCTTCTAGTCCTGGCTGCTCCTTTTCCAGTCCAGCTCTGTGCTGTGGCCTGGGAAGGCAGTGGAGGATGGCCCAAGTGCTTGGGCCCTGCACCCGCATGGGAGACCTGGAGGAGGCTCCTGGCTTCGGATGGGCCCAGTCATCTGGGAAGTAAACCAGTGGTTGGAAGACCTTTCTAACTCTACTGCTCAAAAAATAAATAAATAAAATTGGAGAATCTGGCGCAGTAGTTAAGACTACTTGGGATGCCTGCATCCCGTATCTGAGTGCGTAGGCGTGAGGCCTAGCTCCAGTTCCAGCTTTCTGTTACAGTGCACCCTGGGAGGCAGCAGGTGACAGCTCAAGTACTTGGATCCCTGTCCTCTACATAGGATCCAGACAGAATTCCCAGCTCCTGGCTTTGTGGGTATTGGGGAGTGAACCAGAAGCTGGAGATCTCTGTCTCTGTCTTTCTGCCTTTCATGTAATTAAACTAAAAAACAGAACCTTGAAAACGAAACAAAACAGAACATAGGAGTGGGTGTGGCTCCCAGGCTGCAGGTGGACAGCCATTGGCCTGTGGGTTTCCTCAGCTGGCTCCTGGGGTCCCAGAGCAGGATGGGGGACACCCGGGAAGCAGGCAAGCCACGCCGAGGCTGAGAGTATTCTGAAAAGCAGGCTTTGCGGAGTTTCTGCAGGTCCACAGCCATTCAGTCAGACCCTGCCTCCCAGCACGCCTCTGCACCGCTTCCATTCCACAGCGTTGTGGGAAACTGTGATGAAATCCACCTGCAAGGCTTTGCTCTTGGCTTGGCCTCTTCCACCAGCAGAGCGTCAGCCGCGACCCTCGGGATGGCTCAGGAAAGGCGGTCGGGCTTCCTGCCCCGCAGCTCAGCAGGCAGAGCGCCCACGAAGGCTCCTGCGTCCAGATGGCCCCTGCCGACGCCGGCCGAGCCTGAGCCCCCGGCTGAACGCGGGGTGCCTTCAAGGATCGCACCGGCTGCTTCCTGTCGGGGTGGAGGTGAGCGGAGAAGGATTTGTTTTTTCCAGTGGGGCAGGGGTCTGGGGGTCCAACGTCGCCAGAGGCGGCTTTAGCCTGGCCCTCTGCTGTCAGCCCCGTGCCTCGCTCTTGCCCTGCACAGTCCCTGGTAGGGACAGATCTCTGTGGGGTAAACTGGCCACTTGGCTACAAAACCGTGCTTCCATCCCAACAGGTGGGCTGTGATGTTCTTTGTCCCCATCCACTTTCTTTTTAAATTACATTTTGAAACACTTCAGGTAGATAGAAAGTTCTAAAAGTTGTAGGGAATCACCCTTGTGCTCACTGCTCAATTAAAAATTTCAAACATTGCACACAGAGACACAGGCACCTCTGGTAACTAACGGTCCCCAACTCTATAATCTTTTAGGCTTGAAAAAAATCGGTTGACACTCTTAATGTGAACTTGTTCACTTGTGAGTCTGAACTGGTTTGAGTCTTTTCGATGCTTTTGGGGAA